CAGCAGTTCGTGAAGACCGTATGCGTGGTGGCCGCAATAAGTTTGGTTCATATTATAAACGTGATCGTGCACAACGAATGCAACGTATAGCGTTACGGGCGAACGGAATGCACAATTTTTTCAATCAAAATACTACTGAACAACAAGTTTCTAGCAGGTTTGTTTTTATACTTTTCGAACTTTTTGGTTGGTCACTATGAAGTTTTAGTATTTTGTTATCGTATAACTGAGCAAATATTCTTACATTTTCTCCTAAATTTTTGCTTTCTTTTTGAAGTGCACCAACTGGATTAGCTACTGTACATGCACAGTATTTCGACACAGGTGGACCTGAAAAGTTCAAAAACGATTATGATGCATTAATACAATCGACGACGCTTTCGAGCAGTACGCAGCCTAGTAAGCTTTTGAACTTCGCAAATTCTTCAGTTACAAAAGATAGAAAATCATTGCAGCACTCAAGCTTCAGGAAACACATAATTCAACATAAGTTTAAACAGTTTCGATTCCATAGATTCATGTTAAAAATGGTATATTAGTTGTGATGGAATGAATGAAATACTTCCATTTGCACAGATTATCAGTTTTCTTCTTTTATCCTTTCTATTAAAGTCTAGTAAAATTATCCTCATTTTAAAGTAATTCAGAGTGATCACTTTTGTTTTTTTTTTTTGAGATGAGATTTTAATTCTTTGTTTCAACAAAAGAAGTCATGAGAATTTCTAGATTTTATCACTTGCTTTAAAATTTGTCTAAGTTTCATTACTTTAAATATTTATAGATTGTGTGATGCCACGACCGAGTGCATATTTGCCAAATTGTGATAATTTAGCTGTTTTACTGGGTTCATCGATCGACGACCCGTTATTGCGTAGCTCATCTTTTCCCATCTATTCATGTGTTAAACCAGAGCCTTTTGATGGTTATACCGAAGCCAGTGGGTGTTTCATTTCTAGCCTTTTGTAAATTTAATTTAAATAAAAATTTAATTAGATTCATGCCTTAGAAAAGGCTTTATCTTCCAATCTGACTTTCAGAATATGATTATCGCGAATTTTTATGGGTTTTATGTAAAAAGGATGTTTAAAATGAAAATTATGATTCAGGAAATTTTGCAATCTATATATTTTAGTTTGTTTTCATAAATGAACTTGTGTTTGAACTTCACTTTAAAAATTTTAGGTTTTTCACAACCTTCGATTTCTACTGATTATTCATCATTCTGTCCACCAGCATCGTCTTATACAGCAATGGCACCGATAGCGGTTGCAGCAGGTACTCCTGCACTTGGTACTACAACAGATAGTTCCTCACCACTACTTCCCATATGCCCGTTACCTACCGAAAAAACTAGCGACAGTGTCTTTTATGCTCCAAAAACGGCCCTTTTGTGCAAGTGTACAGAATCTCTGATGGACCCGAATCTCCTTATGCATTTATTAGGTAAAGGTGACAAAACTCGAGACGCATTCCAGTTCTGCAAATCGGTTATCGAAGAAAGTCTCAATTCAATTGTTATGTGGGCTAAAAATGCACCGTATTTTGAGCAGTTACCGGTATGTTCAATGAAATTAAAATTTGTCAAAAAATTGAAACAGTTGCGAATCAAAACTCAATAAAATCAAAATTTTAATAAATTTTTGGTAGCCAGTTATTTTGCACATTCTGATCAGCCAATAATATTATATAGTTTTACTACAAACTGAATCATAGCAAAACAACGCTTAATTTTATAGAAGCATTGAAACTAGACTGATTCTTTATTGTATTGATTTTACTGCTTTCTAATACGCTTATATGGTTCCCATATCGCATCATTATCACCGTATGCGAAAAAGCATGCACTACGAATTTGAATATTTTTTGATATGAAATCAAAAAAAAACCAGATTACAGTTCTTCAAAGCTATTGTGTTTTTGTTGTTATTTTCTATCGTAGTCCTAAAAACAAAAGGTGGTTTGGATGAAGGCAATGATTTTTTTAAAAAGTTAAAATTATTTCCAAGAGGTTCCAAAGGATTTTTGCTTACTGAATAGGAATTTTGAATTATCTTTCAAAATTGTATTTTAAAAATATTTTGATGACAACATTTCAAAAAACATTAGCTTCAGAAGTTCATTTCGACCAAAAGAACAAGAATTTTAATGCTAGTAATAGTTCATCTGCAAAAAAATTCGGTTGAAGCATTGTTTTAAAACGCGTTCCATAATATAGCACAGAACTGACCTTTAAAATGAACCATTTTTCAGGTCGATAATCAAATAGCATTAATTTATGCATCTTGGGCACCAATTCACGTTCTTGATTTCACATTTCATATTCTCTACTGCCATTTGCCCATTTCTATACAATTTGGCAATAGTCCGTTAGTTTTCATTCAATATTGCAAATATTAATATAAGCTTACTCTAAATTTGATGGTATTTGAAAAGGTTGAAAGGAGTTCTGCCAAGCTTTTCCAATTTAAAAAACTAAATTCACCTCTGGAAATAGTAATGGTGATGGAAACTTCACACTGTTGTAGTAAATTTTTATAGATTACTTATGTCAACCATTTGTTTAATGGGTTTTAATACATTGGCACCGAGGTTCAATGAATCATGCAGTAAATTACAGTCACTGAATTTCGATCGCTGTGATTATGCAGCATTTAAAGTGCTAACACTCTTCGAAGATCGAGGTTTACTTTCAACTCTTATTGGATGTGAAACAACCAATTCATTTTCTATCAAAGATCATTAAAGAGCGCCACTGTGTACTTTCGGGTTACATTTACGAAATATACGGTAGAGGCAAAAAATATCTCTATTGATTAATAATATTCTAATTTTAGATACTGATTTTGAGTGGATAATTTACCATAATTGAGGTTAAGAACTAGCAGCAGTCATATGTTTCAGCTTAAGCTCACTATTCCAGATAATGAAGAATTCAGTTCCTTAGCCGTCAAATCACTCGAGATTGCTCATATAAGTAGAAATAATATCTCTGTTTTCTGTCTTGACTTCATATGAAGCAAGTTTTGCAATTTTTTTTGTGTGCATTCTTGTCATGCTTGCATATTGTATAGAAACGTCCTACTACAACTATAGATTAAATACAGAGATATGCAAATTACAGGTGAACGAAGTGCAGTAAACAACTGCGCTTTGACAGCTCAAGTTCACGCATCGGTACTCACAGCGTGGGCAGTATATCGTTCCGTTCCCAATGCTACCGATCATCCTTTATACATTGTTTATGAGGAATTGAAGTAAGTGTATTCAGGAAAAATAAAAAATAGAATTTCAAGAAAGTTAAGACAGTCATATTCTTTCTGTCATCAATGATTAAGGAATTGTTTCCTGAATGAAATTCAGTATAAATATGGCATGATATAATTTTATAAATCGCTAAAAAATGCTTGCTTATATAGTCGTAAGAGAGTAGATTTTACGATGAACACCACATTTGCTTCTCAAGATTGTGAAGGAGGATTATTTCTGTGCTTTTGAAAATAAAGCACTCACTACAGTACCTGAAGAAAGCGATATATAGTGCTAAAAGTACTTGAATTTTTGCGATATTCGAGCACTACTTTACTTGAGTACGACGAGCTGCATTGCCCTTTGTCCTCTCTAATTAGTAGCGCGGTGCCGATTATTTTCGACATTGCCAAAACCAGCAATTACCTACGATATTGTTGAAGTGATTGAAAGCTCGACTACCATCGTTATGCACTTTTCACATATTACTACAGGGCTTTAGAAAAGAGAAAAAGAACGATCTGTATTATTCTTATGACAAATTCTTCATATCTCAAATCAGTAAATAAATTAATATATCTCTGAACCTTATTTGAATCACTGAAAAATCATTCATTGTTAGAAGCTCTTCTGAAATGCACTAAAAATAATTTCTGTGATGGTATTGCACATTACCTCTAAATGTTTTATAAAAATCTCCCTCTTCTCTGTTCAGCCTTGTAACAAATTTATTTTCAATTGAAATTTTTAAAAGTTTCAGACTTCTTGCACGTCAGGCAGCTCATTTGCTCAGCAAATATTCGACAGTGGAAATGGAAGAAAATTTGCTGAAAGAGATGTTAACATGCAAAGAACATCATTTAGTATCTCAGCAACCGCCATCATCAATACTATCATCACCGCAACAATATGCATAATTAAAAATTAAATCAAATGTGCGCACTTGTCTTTCCCAGCCTTCCAAATCGCTTCCTCTAAATTATGATTTTTTTTATCAAAAAGCTTTCCCCCCAGAAATTCCAAAAGGCAAAAACTTGTTTTAACCAAATTTTTTTCATTAATCAATGCTTCTTGTACGTTATCTTTTCAATTTCTACAAATTTGCATAAATCAAAAGCATTTATCACCTCCTCACCCATCTAATAAAGTGCGTACAACTGATCTCGTCAGAAACTCGGGTGCGGCAATTCCGCAGTAAATTAGCAGGGAGTCGCCGTGGATGCAATCAAAGAAAATCCACAAAATATAAAAGAAGCAGCAATTTAATCCAACTTATCGTATTTCATTCATTTTGTTCCAGTTAAAATTTTTATTGGTCGGTTTTGTTTCATTCAGTTCTACTTTAAATCAATTCAAGCACGAGCGTTAAAGGCTTTGTCCAGGTAAATTCATCCGGGCTAGCATTTCGTTTAGCATTTTTAAAATTTATTTCCTGTTTGAATAACTCATTCAGTATTATTCCAGTTTATGGGCTTTTTCATTTTTATAGTATTAATGTTGTTTGATATCAGTGTCCCTATTTCCATAAATTTTGTTCCTTATTTTTACAAGAATCCTAAAAAATGCGTCCTAACTTTTGCTTTAATTAAAAGATTTTGAAAAGGCTATAAAAACATAGGAATAAATAGGAATAATGACAATCTACACTTTTTACCCCTTCTATTTTTTATATTCAACATTTTATGAATAACATGATTTTTTGTCGAAATCTTGTAGTTTGTAATATATCGTGTCCTTCCTGATTTGTGATCACGTCATTCATGCCTACCAGTGTTGTTCCTGCATACTGCATACATTCCGCCACTTTCTTCATTGTTATTACTGTTGTTGTTTTCCTTTATAACAAATACCATCTTCTGCAAATCCTCTTCGATTTTTTAGCTTTATTAATGACTCAAGGAAGACAAAGAGAAGATGTTGACTCAGATTTAGCAAGAATCCAATTTTTTTAAATTATTGTCTATAAATGTATGTAATTTTGGTTTAAATGCCAGCTATTACTTTGATTGCTATCCGTAATTATTTACATTGCTGGTATTTCGCTGCTGTTGTTACTTCTAGCTCTGCATTTTTATTTCTGGCCTTTTAATATCATTGGAGAAAACAAATCATTGATGAAGTGAAATACAACTAAATTTCGATTTTATTGATATTCTGGTAATTTTTTCCACACATATTGATAATATAGCACCTTTTAGTTGCAAGATGTTTTAGTGCACTAATAATACCAGGAAATTAGCTTAGAATGCAAAACGAGTTGAAATTTAAGTGAGATATTTTTAAAAAATATTTTAAAAAAATTTTTTACTTTTTTAAACTAATTGAGATGCAACATTTTGTAGCTGATGTCACACAAAACTAGTTAATTTTCTAAAACTCGATCATATTATCTAAGTATTTTTGCAGTTTTGAGAACTCGTCGAGTGATTTTTTTCCAAACAATATTCTACATTGCTTGAAAATGATTATTGAGAAAAATTAGCGTAAATGAATACTAAATGAATAAATGCAATGTGTTATAATACCAATCAAATATTGACTGATGATATTTGGCAACCAGTGGTAATCTTTAAGGAAATTAAAGACAACAGTTTAGAAAATCTTATCCAACAGCAAACGAACCATTATAATTAGTTATGATTCGTACGCAAACGTCGCTTTAGTACTTGTTGTCGGTAAAACGTTTGTTTCTTGAATAAGGTTTTCTAAAATTAAAAATAGTAATTAAAAATTGATAAAAAGAGAAAAATAGAACAAGATTGCAAATTTTATGAAGGTTAAGTGTAATAGCTCTGTTTGAAGAATGGAACTCTTTCATTTTCAAAATATTTTCTCAGCTTTCTTTCAACTTCTTAAGAAATTTAGTTGGTTATTGAAGAAGTTTTTTATCTTAAACATGACAGCTTCTAAAATGTGATAAGCTTTTATTCCACTCATCCAAAGATGTTTCTGCTCGATCCTTTATTCCCAAAAGTGATTTGTTATAACAAGGATTGACCATAAATTTAATGAAGTGAAGATTAATTTTAGTAAGTTTTAATGAAATGATTCTATTGTCGTGAAAGATTGTCTGGTTAATATTGAATAGTTGCAATACAGTAGGAAGATTAATAAACCTTTATTTTTCTAGAACGTAATATTAATAAACCGAGCAATAAAAGGAGAAGAAATTTATAAAAGAAGACCGGAGAAATTGAAATTGGTTAACCGAGTAGTAATCGACCTTAAAGACAAATAATAATTGCAATTTTTTAGGATTGAATTTTATATGAGTGGTAATTGGGAGTGTCTAAGATAAAAATGTGAAGAATCGGAAATGTTCATGAGAATTGAGAATTTATGATGTGAGATTACATGTGCCAATAAACCAAAAAAAACTAGATTTAAAGAGAGATAACTTAAGATACTGTAAGTTTGTTTTACAATGTCTGATGAGTCGGAAGTGTCTAAAAAAAATTGAGAATTTATAGTGTGAGAACTGAACGTATCTATGATGAAAATCACATATGAAAAATCTTAAGAAATTAGATTTATGTAGAGATAATTTATGATATTATGGGATTATTTTTAGATAATAGTTTTCGCGAAATTATAATTCGCGATTGTATTGCAAAAGAAAATTATAATAAGTGGTGCAACGAATTGCAAAATGAATACGTTCCTAAAACTTTAAAAATTTTTTTTGATATTTGCAACTTTCTTTGAACAGACGCTAAAATTATCAGCAGCCTTGGCTTTTGAACCTGCTGCAATAAATTTTGAAAAATACTAAGTAAATTATTGTTCTTACTGTAATTTGTCATTGTCCCCTGTCTTTGGTGAACAAATAACTAGAAAGTTAGATTGAGAGAGCAGAGCAAACAGCTTCTTAAATTATTTGCAAGATGCTACTGAAGTTTTTACAATGCACGCATTGATAACTTATCCCTATGGTATGAAATGTTGTGAAAAGTCTTAAAGTTTCCCCTCCAATAATTGGCCAAAAGTATAATAATAAACCATATATAGTCCTTGTTATCAGAACCTCAATCTTCGGTGAAAAATTGGTCACAGAAATTCCCATATTTGATAAATCTTTGCTTAATGAACATAAGCAATGATATCACTGTTGCCAAAGCAAAATCCAGACTAATTATTTTTATTCTTGGTCTAGAAAATGTCATAATACTCGTAAATGCAAGAAATAAAACATTATGAAGTTTTTCAAGATACAAATTGCTCTCTTGTCTTATAAGACATTTGAATTATCATATATCATTTCTCTTTCATCTTTCATCTCTTTCATTTTTATCTTTTCATGTCATTTTTTTGTTAATTTTAAAACCTTTCTTTTGTGCTTTTCTTCTTTTTGAGTCCTTAAAAATTCTTGCTTCGAGCTTCATCTTTTCTATCAACATAAAACACAACTCTTCCTTGCACTTTCGTTAGCTGCTCTTCATTTGAAAATATTAGTTTCTTCATTTGAAAAATATTACTATCTGAATTTATAGTGCGACCACTGGAATTTATTATAAAATTATTTCCTTAGTACCTTACAGATAGTTAGACATGAAAACAGCTTATTTAGAAGGAAATAAGAAGTAGATGTAATTGTTAGAATTTCAAGAAGCAGGGATTTCCAAGTCTGTTAGGTTTAATACAAGATCAAAAGCCGACAAATCTTGCTAAAAAACTTTTGAAAAAATCTTTGAAAGGGAAATAAAAATTAAACATATATTAAGGCATTCAGATCTTAGTGTCCTTCATTTCATTTTTGACAAGAACTAATTTGTTATTCGCTTGAAAATTTTTTTGAAAAAATAAAGATAACAATTTATTCAATTCATAATTGAATTGATAATTTGTGACCATGCGAAGAATATTTTTTTTTCAGCGAATGATAAGAAAGGATTGGAATAAATCCAATAAACAGTTTAAAAACATACTAGTGAACAATTAAAAAATCCTAATAAACAGTTCAAAAAAATAGTAAAATTCAATTTTGCCATTTTTTTAAATGCATGTAAGTAAGTAGTGCAATTAATTAAAAATTAAAATTTGCAATTGAAAATAAATTTTAATTTGTAATTAAAAATTACAAATTAAATTAGTTTATGTCATAAATTTAATTTATTATTAGTATTATCATTATTAATACTATTGTTATTTTTCATTATTATTAACATTATCCTTTTCACTCATAAATAATAAATTAAGATCTTTTCCCTTTCCCAGCAAATTAACAATGTCTAATTTTGAACAATAAAAAGTTTAACTATTTATTATCACTTGTAATAAAGAATAGCTTTGGAGAAAAAATCAGAAATATTGAGGAAAAAAACAGATAAAAGCTTTGAATTGCTACTGAAGAAGTTAAAGCTATAAAAACATTTCGTTTAAAAGCTATAAATAAAATAATAGAAGTAGAGCAGTAAATATTGCTTTGAATCGAGAATAAATTAGTTTAGCTGTTGGCTATTTCTTTTCCTATTCTCTCAAAGGAAAAGGACATTCATCATTGAAAGAAGTTATGAATTGATTTTGCAGTTTAATTGAATTCAATAAAAGTATAATTATAACTGAATGTTTTTATTTCCACTTTTAAAAAATCTAACACCAAACGAATAAAAGTGAAACATTTAATAAGGTATCATAATGAGTAGAAAAATTGTTCGAGTTTCGTAAATATCCTATTTTTATAGTTATTGCAAAATTGCTTACTTTTTTGTAGGAAAAGTAATTAAAATATAACGATCAATAGCTATAGCAGTGAGAGTTAATGACGAAAAGCATAAACTTGCGCCCTGAAAGCATCGGAATTTGTCGTAGAAAAGGAAAGGTCTTGAAATGAACAAAGTCTCATCAATTATTGCCATTTATTTAATAACTGAATTTAAATTTCATCCAAGAATGGTTTGAATTTGTTAAATAATCGAATGGACGTAAAGAATCGAAACTGATTTGTATTAAAGGTACAAAATAGCAATCAGCAAAAATCCATATTATGCTAAAAGCTGTAATTTGTGTTACTGTTCTGAAAACAATCGAAATAATGACATCTGTCACTAATAGGCTGATAACAAATAAATTACGAACTGACTCAGTGATTTGATAATATAACTATATTACTAAGAACATCAAATCTGGAAACTGTTATATTATAAATTCATGTGCTGAAAAAGTACATTGAAGAAATCGAAAGTAAAACACTGTTGTTATTAATGATTATGAGTGTTATTAATGAGTTTTGCGTGATCTTGCTAATGAGAATGATCAGATAAGAAGATTTCGTTATCATATTTTTTTTAAGTTTAAAAAAAATTTTAAAAATTAACAATAATGAATTGTTTCAGCTATTATATTGCTATTTCACTTTAATCCTCAATTTGATCTTTGAAGCAAGGAAACATGGTGACAATATTAAAAGCTTTCCGCAACTTTTAATAGAATTGTATGACTTAAAAGTAAAATGCTCCACTGAATTTTTTAAAAAATTAATATGATAATAAGTTCGTAAATGCAAAAAAAAAAGATCATTATTGGTAATAAAGAAATTAAGTCGGAATGATTCATTCAAAGACACGGAGTTTGGTAGCACTTTTATTGCTAATAATGAAACTATTATTAGCGGACATTCAGAAGAAGAATTCCACTTCTGCTGCTTATCCAACAAAAAAACAACAATAAACAGTGAAAGAAAAGTATTGAAGTAAATTCCAGAATATCGCCTCGAAAAAAGATTTGCGATATAATGTAAAGAATCTTATTTAGTGATGACAGTTTACAAATGGCGCAGAGATTAGAATTGATACACATTCTAAAAGCAGTAGTATAGGCTTGCGAAGGAGAAAAGATGAAGAGATAACGAAGTTGGTTGGTTTTGCGATTTCAGTACAAAACGAAAATAAACTTTGATTATTGCATGTGATGCGAACTATGTATTAAAAATCCTAAAGCATTGGAACAACTTTTGCAAAGACTGAATTTATTTGCAAAATCCTTCTCAGATGATAGTTCTCCAATTTGTTGCAACCTTGAAATAACTGGTGAACAATCATAAGCATTAATTGAAGTATAAGCAAACGATAAACGATATAAAATATATATTTTAATAAAAGTCAATAATACATCCTTTGTTTTGGAATGATCTACTTATTATTTACCTGGCCAGTGTAATACCTACAAATGAATTCTTAATAACTCTCTGCATAATTCTAAAGTTGTTATTTTTGAAATTAAATTTTTTGACTACAATATTTGTTGTTACAAATAACTTTTGGAATGACTCCTATTAATATTAAAGTTTTTTACTCTTATGAGGATGTCAAACAAATATACTAATTCCTCAAATTTTAATATAACTCCAAATTTGCCAGCAGCAAATTCATACCATTTGATATGATTTTAAAAAGTAAGATTGTTTTACAGTTCATCACTGTCATTCAATTTTTTTTTTTACAGATGCAATAATTAGCAAGAGAAAGTTCGAAAATCCCTCATTCAGAAAATGAAAACAAACCAACAGGCATTTATTTAAAAATTGGAAGTAAGAAATGAGAACAGGATACAGCAGAATTAAATAGAGACTTGCGATGAAATGAAGATTTAATAATTTGCCGAGAAACCATCAGCTGTTTTACATACCA